CGTAGCTGCTGCTGCACGTTGTCGCGCTCTGCCTCTGCCTTCCGCTTGGCTGTGGAAACAGCTTCGTACTCTTCTGCAGTCACGGTGTATAGAGGGGACGCCGCCTTATGCGGGGAGGACTGCACGTGCCCTGTAGAGCCCGCCGCCATCGGCTTGTTTGACGGGGACAGCCCGGAGATCTGCGCGCGTCGCGTCTCAACCCGTTGCCGAAGAGAATCTAGCTCCTCTTTGGTTGCACGTAGCTGCTGCTGCACGTTGTCGCGCTCTGCCTCTGCCTTCCGCTTGGCTGCGACAAGAGTCTCATTTTCTTTTCGAGTGTTAATGGATTCTTCCTGTGGGCACTTATGCAAGGAAGAGGCGTGTATTGCTTGAAGTTTGTAGGCTCGTGGAAAATTATGGGTTTCGATGAGGTTTTGTATCTCTTTACTTTGTGTTGTTCCGTGTTCTATTGCAGCATCTACAACAAGACAGTCGTTCGATGCAGTGTAACTGATGTCTCTTATAACGGCGTCCGATTGACGTAGCGCCTCACTAGACTCTGCCCAGAGTGTTTCCTGGAGGTCCGCAGGATAGGTCTTGCATAAGTCTGGCCAGTGGATACCGGGGAGTCGCCTGTAGTAGTGCTGTGTTGTGGGTGTCTGCGGCGGTGGATGATTTGCGTCGTGCGTGGTATCCAAAACGCGTGTGGTGTGCTCTCTTGAGCTCACTGAAAGTTCCTGCAGGAGTTCGTCGGCATACCTCTTCTCCACCTCCAGACTAGACTGCAGTTCTACAATTTTTTCATTTGCCTGACGAAGTGCCCCCTCGTTCTCTTCCCACAATGTCTTGTACTTTTGAATTTCAAGTAGTTGATGCTGCATGTCGTCTCCCTCAAGTTTGTCACCGGCGCGCAGCTGCTCCATCCCACTGCTATATGCATCAAAGCCCAGTTTGGCTGCAATGGCTGCATGACGGCCCCCTTGCATCACCTGCCCCTGTTTCATTGGACTCGGTTCGCTAAGGAGTTGGGGCGATTCCTGACACGACGTGAGTTCCTTAAGCCTGTTCTCTAATACTTGCAGCGCTGCATCTTTTTGTGACAACTGCCCCGTAAGCGACTGAATAATTTTATCCTTCTGGCCAGCAGCCTTTGTGGCCTGCATAATTAACTCCTCATTGTTCCTCACCTTTTCCTTCAACTGCACCACAGTTGCCCGCAGGACCTTTATCTGTGCGGCCCTTTTGTTCGATACAGAGTCACCGCCCAGAGTGCTGTCGCGGAGCCGGGTCGCAGTGTCCTCCAGTAGCAGAATATTTCTCTCCTGGTAATTTCGCAGTTGCACCTCTAGTTCCTCGTTGTGCGCCACCAGCGCATTCATCTGATGCTTCTGAGCTAAGATCTTCTCCTGTAACTGTGCCAGCCTGCGTTTCTCCAGGGAACGCCACTGCTCGTATTGCTGCAGCTTGCCGTCCACGTCGTGCTCGTCTCCGGTAACCTGCAGGGCCTGAATGATGCCCTCCGCCCCGCCTAGCCACACCGTCCAGTGCGTCGCACGGTACAACCGCCGCATGGTCAAAATGGGACAGTTCAGGTTGTTCGGGGCAAGCTGAATGCGTTGTATCGGCACCAGATCCCGCGTGTTCCACACCACAACAAAACCATCCTTCCCGCTGCTCCACATGCGCGGGGAGACATGAACAATCGACGTAATGGGACCACTGTGCTGCCCACGTAAAACCGCCACGCAGCGCCGCATCTCCTCCCTGCGCCAACTCCACACGAGGATGGTGCAGTCATCACCTCCAGACCACAAATAACCACTTCGGGGGTGCACCTCCATGGCGCGAACTGAACCATTGTGCCCACGCAGCGTCGCCAGGCACGCCTCGTCCGTCTTAATCTGCAGCGGTGCCCTTGGGTCCCAGATCTTGATGGTCATGTCGTCCCCACCAGAAAGGACGAACTCATCCTCGAGCCCTACGCCATCCGCATTGGGGAGAGTCTCATCCTCGTCCTCTCCCCCAGCTGCATCGTCGGCTGCAGACATGGAACTCGCGCCGGCAATACCAGGAACCACAAGAACACAACGCACGCCGTTGGCATGCCCGGAAAAGAGCCTAATGTACGTGCACTTCGACTTCGACCACTGGTACACCTTCCAATCCTCCCCACCACTATACACATAGTCGCTCACGGCCGAGCTTGCAAGGGCGTGGACCGCGCCGTCGTGCTGCACAAACTCGCGCTCCATCTTCCCAGTCACAGAGTTGTAGCAGCGAATAAACCCGTCTGAAAAGGCTGCCCACATCTTTTCCTCTGAAATCCTCTGCAAAACGGTGCAAAATGCCGATTGCCGCGCACTGACATAAAACAAAATTTCCCCACGAGGCGCTGCACGAACCACAATGCGGCCATCCATCTCAGCGGTCCACACCCGCAGCTTGCCGCCGTAATCTACCGAACGTGGTGCTCCAGCGATAGAGTATGTGGAGACTGTCCTATCGCATCGCTGACTCTCCAGGGACGTAGACCGCAATGAAGACAGCGTGGCACGAGAGGCCGCCGACAATGAGCGATGGCAAAACGGCAGCGACATGCGAGGTGGTGTCTAGGCGCCCACGGTGCCAATGCAAGCAACCTGCTAAGCAGAACGGCCCAAACTAACATCAGCGCACGTGCACAAACAAACAAAAAAAACAACAACCCAAAAAAAACAAAACACAGAACAACATCAAACACACATGTTCAGCTATCGAAACGACCAGCGCAGAATTCTTCTTTCCGGAACTCTGCGCCGTCTTCTGCCACGCGAGACTGGAAGCAGCAAGTCATGAAGCGCACAATCTCAACATAAAAAAAACAAAAATTAATGACTCAAACATTCCGCCCCAAGCACACACCGCTGGACTCAACAGAAGCTACGCTTTTCCGTTGCCCGCGGCGCACACACCGCCACCCAGCAGCCACGTAGCGTTTAATGGTGGGCAACGCCCAGAAACACACACAAACAGCCCCGCAATAAAGAAACAAAACAAGAAAAAAAAAGCCCAGAAGCAAACGAACAAACGATTTAAAATGAAGGTAGGGATATAGCGCTTCACCCAGCCGCTCCAGTGCACGGACACTCATCTACACCAGCATGGGTGCACCCTCCCACGGCCATGCACACGGGTGTGTCTGGCGTGCCTTGCTCGGGACGGGAGAGAAAAAGCACGGGCACACAAGTGTGCAGCAATAGCAAACAGGAAAAAAAAGAGGGATAAAATAAAAACCAAAACATGTTTATATTAACGCACTGCAGTCCTGTTGCGCTGCTCACACCATGGCAGTAAGAGCCAGCGCAAAAAGGGCAACGAACAGTGCCAGAC